TTATTATCCGAAGTAATAAATAAAGCTTGATTTTTCACATTTGTGACTGATAGGATAATTGATGATGTTTCTGGAATGCATGCATAATGAGAACCCAAGTGGAACTTAAAGTTCACATTAGGGGGTAGAGAGTTGGAAACTGGTTTTTAACACTTGTTGAAATTTGTGAAAAATTTACAAGTTGAAGTTAAACTAAGGTTATGTCTAACACTTGTTGAAATTTGTGAAAAATTTACAAGTTGAAGTTAAACTAAGGTTATGTCTAACACTTGTTGAAATTTGTGAAAAATTTACAAGTTGAAGTTAAACTAAGGTTATGTCTAACACTTGTTGAAATTTGTGAAAAATTTACAAGTTGAAGTTAAACTAAGGTTATGTCTAACACTTGTTGAAATTTGTGAAAAATTTACAAGTTGAAGTTAAACTAAGGTTATGTCTAACACTTGTTGAAATTTGTGAAAAATTTACAAGTTGAAGTTAAACTAAGGTTATGTCTAACACTTGTTGAAATTTGTGAAAAATTTACAAGTTGAAGTTAAACTAAGGTTATGTCTAACACTTGTTGAAATTTGTGAAAAATTTACAAGTTGAAGTTAAACTAAGGTTATGTCTAACACTTGTTGAAATTTGTGAAAAATTTACAAGTTGAAGTTAAACTAAGGTTATGTCTAACACTTGTTGAAATTTGTGAAAAATTTACAAGTTGAAGTTAAACTAAGGTTATGTCTAACACTTGTTGAAATTTGTGAAAAATTTACAAGTTGAAGTTAAACTAAGGTTATGTCTAACACTTGTTGAAATTTGTGAAAAATTTACAAGTTGAAGTTAAACTAAGGTTATGTCTAACACTTGTTGAAATTTGTGAAAAATTTACAAGTTGAAGTTAAACTAAGGTTATGTCTAACACTTGTTGAAATTTGTGAAAAATTTACAAGTTGAAGTTAAACTAAGGTTATGTCTAACACTTGTTGAAATTTGTGAAAAATTTACAAGTTGAAGTTAAACTAAGGTTATGTCTAACACTTGTTGAAATTTGTGAAAAATTTACAAGTTGAAGTTAAACTAAGGTTATGTCTAACACTTGTTGAAATTTGTGAAAAATTTACAAGTTGAAGTTAAACTAAGGTTATGTCTAACACTTGTTGAAATTTGTGAAAAATTTACAAGTTGAAGTTAAACTAAGGTTATGTCTAACACTTGTTGAAATTTGTGAAAAATTTACAAGTTATATATAGCCGAGATCATTTTTAAACATTTGCTGATATGAACGATTGGTGTATTTAACCGAGGTATTTTACCCCGAGAAGATTACACAGTAAAGTACACATTTGAAGATATGAAAAATATTCTAAGTATGGAAACGTATAAGAGTAGAAAAGAGAAGACAAAGATACAAGCATTTAGGAAATGAAATTGTATTAACATTCAAAAGATACCGTGTCGGCCAAAGCTTACAATTGTTCCAAAAAAAGAAAAACGAAAGTACAGAATACAAAGGAAAAGAACGTCAAAATTAAGACTCTTTAGCAACAGCAGATGGTTGGGTTTGAAGTTCAGAAGACTGCTGGGAGGACACCTCGGCAGCCTTCTCAGCCACAAGCTCGGCATCTATTTCCTGAATGGTTTGATTAATGCTCTTCTCGGCAAGAAGCACGTCCGAAGATGCCTTCTCAAGAGTAGCATCCTTAGGAACCTCCTCACCCTCCTTATCTTGAGTTAAGTCAAGGACTTGCTCATTTTGAGTAGGGGGCTTGGCCCCAGTAGCTTCCTGTGACTTCCTCTCCAGAGCCTCTTCTTCAGACTCAGAATCGTCGTCAAATTAGCTTGGAGTTGGGGGGAATGGCAGAGGAAGGACGTCGATGTTCCTGAGGGGCGAGTCATCGAGGATTTCGAGCTTTTTAAGTAAAGTCATCCAACCAAGGGTGAAACCATTGTTGCATGCCTGCTTTACTTGTTTCTCGTAATCCGCCGTAACGTCGGCCACTCCCTCATTATATCCCTTCTCGTCAGCGGCCTTGACTTCGGCCTCTTTTGTGGCCAGGGCATCTTGAAGTTCTTTCTAGGCCTGGGACATCTTTTCCTCGGCCTCTCTTTTTTGGGCCTCGAGAACCTTCTTGATGGCCTCAATGGATTCCACTTTTTCTTCGGCGTCATTTTGAGCTTTGATAGCAGCCTCGGCTTGATCCTTCAAGGTCTTCATCTTTGATTGCAAGTTTTTATTAGTCTTTTGTAGACTAGCAACCTCTCTCTTCTTGTCGACCAGCTCCTTCCGATTCTCAAAGGCTTGCATTGAGAAAGAATGACCATGCTGGATGGCCTGAAAGTGAACAGAACAGAAGTTATTAGAAACTATTATAAGCATGAAAAGAAGAGAAAGAAAGAAAACTTACCGAATAAAGAGACTTACTTGAACAGAGCACTAGAGCATCAGAGCATAGTTTTCATATTCGCTCAGCTCGGCGTTTCGGTTAAGATCGCCGAGAAGAAGCAGAGCGGTACTAAGGGCAACGTCGACATTAATGTCGGCGGCACTATCGCTAGCCCTAACTGGCTTATCCTCCAGCGTGATTTGGGGGGCCCAGGGGGCATCATGCTTTAGAAACCCCGAGGTGGTTGTAGCGGATGACCTCAGCCTCTTTGATAGGGTAAACTCGGATGGTTGGGCCTCGGCAGGCCTCTTCTCGGCGGCAGAATGAGACTTATCACTCTCAGCCAATTTGGAGATTGGCAAGGTGTCCTCAGTGTCAACCTGAGTCGCCGTTGCCTTGGGTTGAGCCTTCTTTATCCTTTTTTGTTTTGGCTTTGGAGGCTGTGTTGGTACTGCCTGAGCATCTAAGGTGGATGAAATGTTGGCTAGGAGGTCTTTGGCGACTGCTTTTTGGCGACCCATCTCAGCAGCAAAGACAGTTCATTATCGTCGTCGGTGTTGAGACAGAGGGATCAGATATGAAGCCGAGGTTGACGGCTGCTCTGCTGGATCTGAGGTCGATCCTTGATCTGATCGAGATGTAGAGGCAGCTAGAAGAGTAGTGGCAGAATGAGGAGACTGACTCTTTTTCTTCTTCTTTGGGATGTCGGGAAGTACCGACTTGTAGGTCGGGATAAAGTTAAGTACCAAAGGGGCTCTCCGTTTGTGGACTGGCAAATCCAATAGTTTCTTCAAGTCTTTG